CCTACACTGGAGAAGTCTCCTCCAGCAGGTGAGGGCTTGAGGCTGTGCCTGCCAGAGAGGGACTTTGGGGTTGGGCAGGACAGGTTGGATGCCCTGGTTGCCAGCATGGAGAACTGCAGGGCCATCCTCTGTGTACTCAGCAACAAAGCCCTGGGGAGTCCTCAGTGCCATCTGGAGTTAAGGCTTGCCACCTATCACTTGGTGGCCAGACCTGGAACAGCTTGCCTCCTGTTTCTGGAGCCTATTGATGGGCGGAAGCTATGCGCCTCACCAGGTGGCTTCAAAAAGAGGACTATTTTGATTTGCCTCAAGGGAGGGTGGAGTGGGATGTTTTCTGTGAGCAGCTTCGGAAAAGGCTAAGGAAAGCTGGACAAGAAAGAGATGATTAAGGGTTTGAGAGATCTAACCATACAGGAATATCTTAGCAGCGACCTGGATGCCATCATATGTTCTGAGGGCAGGCTTGACCAGGGTGTCTGAGGTGATACATACTTCAAATCTATTAAAATGATACAAATGAAGATACCAATTCCTAGTGAGAAAACATTTTAAAGTACTAGAAATAAGATATTCATTCATAGGACATTTATGATACCGGCTAGGCCTTTCACAGCACAAAATATCCTTCAAAAAGCAAATACACAAAAAATTGATTTTAGAATCTCATGTGAGTTTTTCAAAATAAATTCATTCTGCCTCTATTAAAAGCAAAATATTCACTCATTTGGTAAAAAGCTATACTATACTATTCCAGAGGAATGGGACAAGAATCTATGGGTATCTGTCAGTGTTCTGAAGCTAAATTGAAATCATGCTTGTGACTTACCAAAGGTCCAACAAATTCAGTTCTCCTAATTCCTGAGGTTCTCCCAATGACAGGACTTTATGAATGATGGTTTTTACCCCATAGTACACATGAGGAATCTAAATAAATAAATTTAAGTGGCTTTCTGTTCTATTACAGTTCCTATATCAAAAAGTTTGGATCTAGTGTTGCTCTAAGTCACAATCCAGTACTCTGCTCTCCACTGTTTCCACTTACTTCTAACCAATGAAGCCTGACCTTGCCACCAAGTTAAAATAGGCAAAAATGGGGTAAACCTCTTCAAAACAACACACATATCTATTTATATGAATTTTTTTCTCATATTCTCAGAAACTGCATAAAATAAGTGCCCTGAAACAGAAGGATAAAGTACAATGATGAAAGATGGAATATCCTGCATTCATTA